TTGCCATCAATCAGTCAAAACAAATAAAATACCCATTTCAATGGGTAAAATTAAATCATGAACGTTGTAGTGGGTGGGTCGAAAGTTATTTAAAATTCACCCAGTTGTTGGTTGAAGTATGCCAATATTTGTTACAGCAACGTTACACAGCAGCCAGCTGAAATTGGAATTTAATGAAAACAACTTTTATTTCAGCAGAAGGCAGAACAAAAACATTCCGTTCCAACCAAAATCAGATGAATCGCAATATAATTATTCTTCATCAGTCGTAAAATGTTTGTCATGCCATTGCTACAAAGTGTAAATTGTTGAATCATTTCTATTTACATTACAGTAATGCCTCAACTCTCGCTCTCTCTCCTGTCCTGTACTTCCCAGTCAACCGATTTAAAACCAATTCATTCAGCTTGATAAACCCATGCTTCCTAAATTGGAAACCACACAGCATGCCAATGATGCAACAGAGTGTCACCTGTTCAAATGTCAAAGCCTGCTTTGCTGTTGTTGTTGTTGTTGTCGTTGACACTATTCTCTGCCAATTCTCTGCTGTGTGCAGCAAGCTTGGAGATACCGATGGAACCGACTCCCGGTGGCTGGTTCGGTCGAAAGAGCCATCAACATTTTCGAAATCGACAGCAGGAGGCTCCCGCCCACTAGAGAGAATCCAAACCAAACACCATCAGGTTCCGATAGTGTGCTGGGATGTGTGTGTGTGGAGGAGGACGGCCAAACGACAATCAAAACCCCATTTGTAAACAGTGATTTTACTACGTGCTCAATTGGATGTCGTTTGCTGTCCTTCCAGCGCGGCATGCCTTCTTACCGCAAATCAAGCTCCAGGTAATAATGTCAATGGCGAGCAGCATGAGCCGTATGATGAGCAAATATACAATAGAGTTACGTGAGCAGAGATGAAAGTGTTAAATTATCCTATTTGGTGTGTTTGTCCCTACAGGGCCGTTAGGATAACGATAAAAATTGATAGCTTAAAGCTTTTCGGTCGAAAAGTCTTCAACGGAAAACCAGGAATAAAAATTACGTAACTCTCCCCAAAACGCATCAACCAGGTCCTGTTGGTCCTGAACAGAGGGAAAGAGAAGGCGAGAAGACTGAACACCGAGGTCGAAACCCCCGCATCAGAGCAAACAGAGCCACCGACTACGACGACACGGGTGGAAAATAGCTGTTGCTCGGCAGCTGGTTCACAGCCAACTATGCATAATACAAAAACCACCCCACGACGACGCCGACGACGACGACGCCGAAGAAGACTCACGTGACCCATCGGGTGGATGCGAGCGAGCGAGCGTAGCAAGCATATAGAGCTTTTTGAGCACCTGTGTGAGTTCCCGTGCGTCGGTGTGCTCAGTGAGCTCCGGGACGAATCGAACCGGGAGCTTTTCATTCAAAGTATTACATAACCTCCATCATCAGAATACGAAAGGGGGTGGTGGGAAAGCTTCTCTTGTTGCTTTGCTGTTTTTGAACTTCTGGGTCTGGACGGCCTTCTACCTACCTTACTAGCGCGGATACCGAAGAAGCATGCCCTAAAATATTCCAGTCACTACCCAGTCTACTTGGATGAGTTGAGGAGTTCTATTTTTTCATCTACTCCCCCGTTCATCGAACGTGAGCTCGCCTTCCTACCTACATACGGTGATACGAAAACCGGGCAAAGGCGCAGTAATTATTCAGGGATTTCTCTTTCGAGGACTACTGTCGCCTCTCCGCACCTGCCGTCGTCGTCCTTCTTCCTAGGTGGCTTATAGCGTGCTAACAGGAGGTGGGTTGTCTTCCTATCGGTAGAGCATGAAACGGTATAAGTAAGGAGATAATGAACTTGAAAATGAGGTAGGATTGATTTCTTCTTTTTTTTTCGCTCGGCACATTGCGGACATACCTTTCCTGTACGGTGTTTGGAAGGTTAAAAAAGGTAGAATGAAAAATGCATTGGATGAATTTTTATCGGCTTGTTTAGTTAGAGTTTAAGGTATGATGATTTCAGAGAGTGATAAACCAGAAATATCAGACCTTGAAAATAATTACACACACACCGAACCGGGGGATTTAATATTTGCTTTATGTGGGAAGAAAAAATATGAATGTTCTCAGAATTTCGTAAAAATTGGTAGTTTTGTTCCTTATCGCAAAATATTTGACCTGTATTTTTTTACTTTGTGATTAGGGTGACCATTTCTATGTTAGGGTGGCCCAAAACATTATTAATTTTGATGTTTTTCAAAAATGACTTTTTTTTTAATTCATAACTTTTGAACCACTTAACCGATTTCAAAGATCAAAATGCCAAATGAAAGGAAATTAAAAGCATTTTTTAGAAAAAAAATATAATGATATTAAAAAATTTGGATTTTTTAATTTTTTTATGGCTTTAAAGGCTCGTAGATAGAGGGCGCATTATGATTTTATATTTTTCCTTAAAATTAAGACCTTTCTACACAACATATAATAAATCAGCATTGTGCTTTTTTCGTTTTTGAGTTATATTTTTTTGAAGTTATCAAGTTTTGGGTTTTCGCTCAATACTTCTATGCGACTAGACTATCATGCGTCTCCATTGATTTATAGCGACTGTAACATGGTCAAATTATCCATACAATTTCTGATCCTAGTCTACCATGACATTCATAGAGACTTGAATCAAATTTCAAAACCCAAAACATGATAACTTCAAAAAAATATAACTCAAAAACGAAAAAAAAACACATTTTTGAAAAACATGATTTTTTATATGTTAAGCTAAAAGGTCTAAATTTTTATGGAACAATATATAAAATCATAATGTCCCCGCTATCTACAAACCATGGAAACCATTAAAAATAAATACAATCAATGTTTTTTAATACAAAATTCATTTTTTTTTATATCATAATATTTTTTTCTGAAAAATACTTTTAACTAACTTTTATTTGGTATTTTGAGTTCCGTCATCGGCCAAACAGTACAAAAGTTATAAATTTTTGAAAAAAATCGAGAAATTTTTTTTTCCGCCCTAATATATAAATAATCACCCTAATGACAAAATAAAAAAATCGGGACTAATATATTGCGATAAGGAACAAAACTACCAATTTAAACACAATTCTGAGAACCACTATATCGTTTTGCTGTATACAGACAAAAAAAGTGGAAACTCTTTTAAAACAGATAGGGGAATTTACGTATTCTCGTCAATCTAAGCAGTGTCCACACTTCTATTAGCATTTTCTCAGCGTCACGCACATATATGACGTGTCTGTTGGTTTACATTCATCTGCTGCTTGCTTCTCTATCCGTTTTAATCGACAGAATTCTTCAAAACTGTTTGAAAGCGTTTTTACAACGCTCCAAACTTCTCAGGTGAGTGTGACTATTGTCGGCAGCCTCGTTTTCTTCGGCAACCTTCCCATTAGAACTGCGTGTTAACCAGCTGTTCTATTATCGGCAACTTGAAATCAACCCCATTTTAGAGTACGTATGCTTCATTTGAATAAAAATCTGCCATAACAGGACTGCTCAGACGTACACATACAATCAGATTGAAGCTGAAAGACTAAAGAATCGTTTGGATGCATTCAGGGAAGTGTGTTGATGGGAAAACATCGAGGGGGGCGACACATCTAAATCTCAAGTTTAGATGCTCAACAAATCTCATACTAGCGAATCAATCTTCGAAAAATCTTTTTTCATTTGTCGCATCTACTTGCATCGCTCATCATCTTTTTGCAGGAAATCTTCAGAATCGCCATCAATCTTCTTTCTATCTACTCAGCGTGCGCGCAGCTAGCCACAGCAAAACACAATCTTTTTTGCATCGTAGATAGAGTCGTCCCCCTCGGAAAACATAGTGAAATTAACGTTTAAATTTTGGTTGCCGAAAACAGTCAATGGGTGCCGAAGCCGACATTTACCCTAGCAGTAAATTTTTATTTAACTTATTTAACCCCAATTAACCTTAAAATTACGAAATTAAAATCTTATTATTGCAGGCAACCTTTGGGGTCGTTCAAACAATCGCATCGTTCAACATTTGTTGGCCATCCCTAGTTGGCTGCGCATCTCCACAATCCAGCAGGCCCCTCGTTTGATCGAGCGAAAGCAACCCTGGCATGCGATCGCCTGTGACGGCTAAATGACAACGAGAATTTGGTATAGGTCTACCATCGATCGGGGTAAGTGTCAGATGAGGAAAACAAAGACTATAAAGCCAAGAAAGTACACAAAGCCGTGCGGTGTAAAAGTTTTGCTTAAACGAAAATTATAAAGTGTTGCGAGAGGAAACAGGTGGGCAGGGATTTCTTCCGTAAATTTAATATCAGAAACCAGAATTTAGGAGTTCGTAGAGATATTATAATTTTCCTGTAAATAGGTTATATAGTTTGTTATAAGGTAGTTTGTCTATATCTATAAGTGTGTTCGATATTAATTTTATTGTATGTATGTGGTCGGTATCGGTGTAAGCTTTAGCTGTTAGTGTTTTACTCACGTTTAGTCCCCTTTCTGTAGTTGTTTTATTTTATCTGTTTTTGAGAGTACTGGCTGCAAGCTGTAATATTTGTATTGTTTAGATTTAGAAGAAATTCTTTTATTTATTTCCTTACCGCGATTCCAACTTTGAAGGCTAGTTTTTAGGTTAGATAGTAGCACTATTTAGCAGTAGTACCCTAAAAGCTATTAATTTAGGCTTAGGATAGTTATAGGTTCGATTAAATTCAATTATACTCACTAGATTAGGTAGTAATGTAAGTTCAAATAATAGTAATATTGATTACTTTTAAATCAAACTATATATAATTTAGTATTAAGCAAAACTTTTACACCGCACGGCTTTGTGTACTTTCTTGGCTTTATAGTCTTTGTTTTCCTCATCTGACACTTACCCCGATCGATGGTAGACCTACCAAATTCTCGTTGTCATTTAGCCGTCACAGGCGATCGGATGCCAGGGTTGCTTTCGCTCGATCAAACGAGGGGCCTGCTGGATTGTGGAGATGCGCAGCCAACTAGGGATGGCCAACACTCCCCCCAGGTAAGCCGGACGTCTGGTCGGCTTGTTCCCCTCCGCGTCGAACATCCAGGACCGCCAGTTTGGCCACAGGGCGATCGAATATGCCAGTCGATGTCCTTACTGTAGCTGACCTGATTCGACCATCTTTGCCTGGTTGCGTTGCGATGACTCTACCTTTCGGCCAAGAATTCCGGGGTAGGTTGGAGTCCGATAGCCAGCGCTTCCAAAACTGATTGGCCAGCGCTTGTGATGTACGCCAGTTTTGTTTGAGAAGGGCGCCACTGTCATCCAGCGAGGTAAACGGTTTCGAGCCATCCGACGACCCCAGAAGAAAGTGGTTCGGTGTGAGTGCAGGTGACGACTCGTTATCGATAGGCACGTGAGTGAGTGGTCGGGAGTTCAGCGTGCTTTCAACTTCCGTGAGTAGGCTCCTCAGCACTTCTTCGGATGGCTTCCTTGAAGGGCAGATGGCCATCAGATTTTTCTTCAGGCTCCGGATTAGCCGCTCCCAACTGCCACCCATATGGGGAGCCAGAGGTGGGTTGAAGGTCCAGCTCGTCTCCGTGGTTACGAATTCCTTCATAACCTGTTCGTAGTCGACTGCTTCTTGCAGGTTCTTGAGTTCACGGCTGGCGCCAATGAAATTGGTACCCCGGTCGCTCCGAATAGTCCTTGGAGTTCCGCGTCGGCCCATGAAACTTCTAAGAGCAATTATACATGAGCTGGTGCTTAGCGAGTTGGCCAACTCTATATGGATCGCCCGTGTCCTAAGACAGGTGACGATCATTCCCCATCTTATCTCCGTTCTTCTTCCGATAACAACTTCCATGGGACCGAAGTAGTCAACGCCGACATGAGTGAAAGGGCGTGTGAAAGCAGCTAGCCGTTCCGCTGGGAGGTCCGCCATGATTGGAGGTTGTGGAATCGAGGACTCGTTTTTGCATCGCTGGCAGCCCTTCCTTGTCGCCGCATACTGAACGCGAATGCGAGGAATGACGTACTTTTGACGAAGTTTGTTCACTATGGCTTCGTGGTTTTGATGGTGGAATTTTTCGTGGTAGTGGGCGATTAACAGGGAGGTAACAGGGTGGTCGTTAGGAAGGATCACTGGGTTCTTCGTTTCTTCGGTGGCGTACTGGCAGGCGGCTGTTCTACTCCGCATTCGTATTACCCTGCGATCGTCTAACCAGGGTGTCAGCTTGTATAAACGGCTGCTTTTAGGAAGGGTTCTATCTGGTGTATCACTGCGGTTGTTCAAGAAGAAGGCTACTTCATCGGCATAACCTTCTAGTTGAGCTAGGCGAAACAGAAAACCTTCAGCAGCATACAGTTCGTCTCTAGATAGCGGTCCATTTTCAGCTGGCTTGTTTGTACTCCTTCGACGGCAGTTTCCGACAAAACGGTGAACGTAAGCAACCCCATTGATGAGCTTCTTCCAGCTAGAGAACTTCGAGACGATAATCATAGGATCGGACAAGGAGAGATGTGCCACGAAGGAGGGTCGTAACTCGTTGTCTGTAGGATCTGACTTCGACGAGACTTTCGGCCAATCCGATTCGCTACGGTAGAGAAAATCGGGACCTCTGAACCACCTGGATTCGGGAGTAAGATCAGGTTGTGTATCCCACTTGGTACCATCATCTGCAACGTTTAGTTTTGTCGGTACCCAAAACCAATCTTCCGCTTCTGTAACGTCGAGTATTTCACTTACACGATGTGCCACGTACGTGCTGTATCGTCGATGATCCGAATTGATCCAGCTGAGCACGTCACGAGAGTCGGTCCAGAAGAATTCATGATGTATCGTAGTCTGAAGGGTTTGCGTAACCGACCTTGCTAATCTAGCTCCTATGAGAGCTGCTTGCAGTTCCAGTCGTGGGATGGAGTGGAACTTCAGGGGGGCCACCCTTGTCTTGGCTGCAACTAAAGAGCAGCATACGACGCCATTGTGTTCGAAACGGAGGAACATGGCGGTGGCTATACCGTTTTCGCTGGCGTCTACGAACATATGTAGCTGTACTTTACAGTCACTGGGGATCATCGAAGATCGAAGACACCGTGGTATTCTGACGCTTTCCACCTGCGGCAACACTTTCAACCATCTGGCCCACTTCTCGTACAAGGAATCGCCGATTTCTTCGTCCCATTGAACTCCGGCACGCCACACTTCTTGAAGAAGAATTTTCAAGAACATCAGGAAGTGAGAAATCAGTCCAAGGGGGTCGAAGATAGTCATGAGGACTTGGAACATCTGACGTTTTGTGGGTCGACAACGACCGGTGAGCAGATCGGGATTGTAGCGATTCCATCCGATTTTGTATACGAATTCGTCGGCTGTTGTGCACCACCACATCCCTAGCACTTTCTCGGTAGCCATCGGTCCCATCGACATATTCATGTTCTTCTCCGTAGTACTGCTTTCGCTCAGCGCGTTTAACACCTGGCGTGAGTTGCTCACCCAGTTGCGTATTTCGAAGCCACCTGCAGAATGTACTTGCCGAACCTCTTGCGCAAGGCGAATGGCATGCTCAGGCGTCTCGGTGCTAAACATCGCATCGTCCACGTAATGCCGCTTCTTTATGACATCAGCTGCCTCAGGAAACTCTCCAGCAAACCGGTCCGCGTTAACATTTTTTACATACTGGGCACTAGCTGGGGAGCAGCTGGCGCCGAATGACATTACATTCATTACGTAGACCTGGTTCTCGCCAGTCTTGTCCGTCCAGAAGAACCGCAGACACTGTTGATCTTCCAATCGCATAAGGATCTGGTGAAACATTTCCCGTATGTCCCCAGTGACGCCGACCCGGTATTCACGGAATTGCACCAATATTGCAAAGAGTGAACACAGCTGATCGGGACCTGTTAGCAGCGCAGAGTTCAGGGAAACGCCAAATACTTTCGCAGCTCCGTCCCAAACAATCCTTATTTTGCCGGGTTTATTGGGGTTGAAAACTGGGAAGATTGGCAAATACCATACTTTTGGGTAGTGTTTGTTTAACTCTTCATCTGACAGTTGGCGAACATATCCCTTAGCCAGATAATCAGACATTTTCTCATTCAGAGCACTGGCTAGCTCCGGATCCTTCTGCATTCGCTTCTCGAGGCCGTAGTGTCGACGTAATGCCATTTCTTTACTATCTGGCAGACGAACACCATCATAGCGCCATAGTAGTCCTGTCTCATACCGGTTACCTTTGAACTTGGTTAGAGATCGGAGAAGTGAGACGGCTCGTTGATCGTCTGTTGACAGCAGATCTTTGCTCGTTTTCATGATGCCTAGACTGTCCATCGAAAAGTATTCCTTTACCATTTGATGTACGTCTTCGTCGGATTGATGGCTGCACTCGCAAGCGTGGAACGTATAGTGGACAAAGTTTGAGGTATTACTAGTATCACATCCCCCGCATATTGTCCAGCCAAGTCTTTTTTTTTTTTTAATACTTTATTATAGAGATTTTTAGCCATAGGCTAGTTCATCTCTTTCCAGCCAAGTCTGGTTTTAACGGCTATAGGTTGTTCCAAACTTCCCTCCTTACTTTTCAGCACCAGGCCAACTGAAGCGTGCTTCAGGCCGATGAGGATTTGTGGACGAACGTTCGTATAGGATCCGATCGGCAAATTCCGACAGTGTGGGTACTGTTGCGCAATCTCCTCCATTTTGAGAGACTGGCATGGTAGTAACAACTCTTTCACCGTTCGAACTCCATTAAGTTGGTACTCCTTAGCGTGGTTCTGCGTACCAGTTATTTTCAGGCGATGGGCACCGATCTTTCAGCAGAGCAAATAAAACACACAATTGCAATATTTGCCACATGCTACAAAGCTGTAATGTTTATATAATTAAAATACATATTAAAATACAATACATTACAGTACTTACAACTTCGGTGTCTTCTCGCATTGGAATAGCCAACAGAGCGATTTGCTCTTCCAATGCGGCCGTGCCGTCGCTTGCTTTCACTGATCTAGTGTGACTGTGATCATTGACAGCACGGGCGTGTCCGAGAAAACCCCGAAGAACGACATACAAACACACAACAATATCACACATTTCTTCAAGGGGCTCGTCGAGCAAACGCAACAACATTTTTATGAATTAAAATAAATTTAGCGAGGGTTCACTTTTACCCCTTACTCCCCTATAAAGTGTACCCCGTATTCCCCTAATATCTCATGAACTGTTGTTTAAAGACATAGTATTCTAAAACCATGCATAAAGTGCTTATGTTTTACGAAAAATAGAGCTGGGAAAAAACATTTCCTCCAAAAAGTAGGAATGGGGTCAAATTGTCCAAAACACATACCTATAAGGCTCTCCGGTCTATGGGACCACGTGCAATCGATTCCCCGGATGATTTTCCTTCGGAAAAGTTGTTTTTCATGACCGAAATTCAGCGGGCTGTTGAGATATTGAATTTTGGGTAATTTTGGACCCATTTTTGCCCATAGTGGCGCTGGTTCGCGTTTGACAGAAAATTGGTTCAAAAAAGCCCTCTTATTGTCTCCTCTTCCTCTTAGGATTCTTTGTGTAAATTTCACTGGATCTGGTTAATCGCAGCAACTAAAGGGCGAACACGAAATTATTGCGACACCGAAAATGTCATGCCAATTTTCTTATAATGTTTAGAATCAAACCAAAATTTTAGGGTAGTTTTATACATATAATTACTTCAAAAATCAAAAGAAAAGTTAATCGATGGAGCCTTGAGTGTAAAATTGAACGCATTTTCGCTTGATGCCCTCCATCAAAGTCTTTACAGTGTCAAGAACGGCAAAAGGCGCTTCTCGAGGCACTCAGATTTGTAGATCTCGCCATTTACTGTGCCCTTTATCACGAAAGGCTCACTCCTCAGTCCGCAAGAGCAGATGCCCTGCCAAATGAGATATTTGGAGGCGAACTTCGACATTTTCTTCTTCTTAAATTTGTCGTCCACATCGAACTTGCTCTTGCCGGTGAAAAACTCCAACCCCGGAATTTGCTTAAAATCGCTTTTTATATACGTTTCGTCGTCCATCACACAGCAGCCATATTTTGTCAGCATCTTCTCGTAGAGCTTCCGTGCCCGAGTTTTAGCCGTCGATTGTTGCCGCTCATCGCGGTTTGGGAAGTTCTGTACCTTGTATGTATGTAGTCCAGCTCTCTTCTTTGCATTCTGGACGTAGCTCTGCGACATGCCGATCTTTTTAGCCAAATCACGGCTTGAGACGTTGGGATTTGCTTTAATCATCCGCTTCACCTTCCTCTCCGTCTTTTTGTTCTCCGGTCCCGGTTTTCTTCCAGCTCCTTTGCCGTGGTCCAACGTCAACCGCTCCTGGAACCGCTTCAACACTCTGGAGACGGTTGAATGGTGAATGTTCAACATTTTTTCAACTGCCGGTGCGACAGGTCAGGAAATTCCAGGTGTTTGGAAAGAATTTGTTCTCTCAACTCGCGTTGGTTCACCTCCATTTTCGTTGAATCGAAAAACACGACTTCGAGTTTGACAGCATGTACACAATACACATCAATGAGAAAGTGTGCAAAATTTGGTTGATTTTTACCCAATGGTAAAAAAGTTATGCCCTGTTAAATGTGTCGCAATAATTTCGTGTTCGCCCTTTACGAATAGTACGGTCATCAATAATCATGCTCTTCTGCCTTGTTTCTTATCTTTTGATATTAAAGTGAACCGTATTGCATGCTCGAAAAACTGATTTTTTGCCACCCTAGTTTCACAGCATGCATTCGAAATGTGCAACATGTTGCCTTTATCCCGACGATCCCAACGGGCAGCGCAATTATTTTCCATCCCACACCCAAACATACACTCACAGCATGCTTCCTGCATTAAATGAGATCATAAATTTAGCCACGAATCGTCCCCCGTGAGAAAGCGAAAACCTATAGGGTACGACAGGGGTCACTGCATTTTGAAGTGGATTAATTAAACGAATAATTTAACGATTTTATAAGCTACATCGCTAGATGACAAAACGACCTATTTGATGATAACATTTTGGTGCCGAATAGATTTGGAAATGTTTAATGAAAAGGCAAACGTGCATTTGGGCTGTTCTCCCCTACACACTATCACCGGTGCCCTCTGCATGCAGCAATTTATAAGCATTTGCGACACTAACTACCATGTTTTATTTAGATTCCCGCAGGGAACGTACACCTGTTGACCTCGCTGCAGCATAACTTTCATGTTGGTCAAAAACATTAGATAGCCATCCAGTCAAATTCAAACGACCTCGAGCAGCAACGCAGACAGCTTCAAAGCAAAAGCCACACAATTTAATCAAACTCAATACGCCATTTCATCATTTTTTCTCTCGGTAAAACCACGTCCCCAGAGTGAAATGATAACCACAGGTACTTTCGAGCAGAGTTCTCCCTCGAGTTCTCCTGATGATGGCAAACCGAAACGATTGGCCGATAGCATTAAATTTTAATTAAAATGATTGTTACTTCGACACCACCGGGGCTGTTTTGTGGCAGCATCGTCCGGAACGGGGCGCTTTTTGGCTTCGACGAACCATCATCCTCATCATCCGAAAGTGCGAGAAAGTTAATTTCGCGAAGCGATGGCACTGCCGAGTAAAAATGCTCATTTTATCCAATACATTTATTTCGGTCAGTTGTCTTCATAAGAAAATTCTACGGAGCCGAGAGACATTGGATATTCTTTTATCATACGATCATAAATAATGAGATGTATAAAATTGATGGAAGACTGCGTCAAGCATATACTGTTAACTCAAATGTTTTGCTTCGTATCAGAACGCTTCTGATAGTAATGTCACACTAAAATTTCTTATCGGGGAGCCGGTGATCTGTGGTTCTCGTCTTGACTGAAAATTTCCTTTACCCCTGAAAGTATACGCTGTCGGGCAGATGCTGAGCTGCCGCTGCTGTTATCTTTAATCTTTTTATCTTCAGACCAACAGCAGAGGCTGTCGGTCTATTCGGGTCTTTTGGGGGCTGGGGGGAGGGGGGTTCAGCGCATTTATGGTTGTTTATCCACGACCGCCACAGTGCACTATGGGAAGTTCCCATACAAATAGGTGGCCGAAAATATGTCGATCTTTAAAACTGTTTTTGTGTTACCCTTGATGTGTGCGATAGCATTTTATAACTCATAACTCTTCAGTGAAATGGTTAAAATTAGGTTTAGTAGGGTAAAGTACGTCTTCATCAGTATTTATGAAAATATAATTTTTTTTCCTTGGATTTGTTTTCCGTCGATCTTGTTTTCCGTGCTGAGCACCAATGCCACCGACGCCAAGGAGCAGCTCCCACACCTGGACCCAAGGGCGTAGCCAGGTTTCGAGCTAGGGAGGGGTGAAAAAAAAATTACCATGGAAAATTTGGCCGAATGCCATTTCACCGACCGCCATTTCCTCGAAAGCCTTTGTGTTGCCGAGTTTAGGGGGGGCATTAGACCCCCCCCTGCCCCTATCTGGCTACGCCTATGCTGGACCCTACCTATCGACCCATCAACTCATGAACCGGGGACAATGGCTTTACTTCCCTGAACATCCCGGCGGCGCCGACTGGGATTGAACCCAGGCCTGCTGGGGTGAGAGGCAATCACGCTTACCACTGGAAATATCCATGTCTGGAGATATAAATGTTTTCAACAGCTCATTGATAGTTTGATGCCCGTATTTTGTCAATGAATGTGAAAAAACACTTTTTTTGTAAAATTTAGAGCCTATTCAAATATTACGTATCGTCAGAGAAGATACGCCCACGATTACCCCCTGAAATAACGGTACAAATGTATTACACAAAGAAAAAGTGCTTGATGAGGGATTGGAAGGTAAACCAGCACTCAATGTTTAGCGTTACGGACTATTTAAACTAGTCCCTTAAATAATACGTCGCAAATTACAATTCATAAATATCCTATGCATCTTATCAAATCAGTACCTCTACCGAACTTTTTTACCTTAGCTTACCGTGTATTAGCGAACAAATACGTTGACAAAGTATGATCAAAAAGGTAAAGGCAATAGTTATTATAAAATATTCTGAACTTTTCCTTTTCATTAATGAATAAATGAACCAGTCAAATCTCAAACATATAAAACAAATTGAAAATGTTAGAATAAGTATGTTGTAATAGATAGCATTTTTGTGTATTGAACAGAGTTATAAAAAAATAACAAAGAATAATAAAAAATGTACAAGGGAAAGATTTAATAAAAGTTTCATGAAGCATAAAGAAGATTAAATCATATTTTCATTAGCGTTATCAGAAACTGTGGTCTTGAAATCGAAATCTTCTGCAAAATCTTCGTTTAAGTCTGCTACATATTCCATTA